GTCCCGCCCCGCCCAGGTGGACCCCGAGCGCCTGTTCAGCAACATCCCCGAAATCGCGCGGCTGCACCGCGGGCTGTGGGGCGGCGTGATGGCGCCCGTGCTGGAGAAGGCGCGGCGCACGCGGGCGCCGCTGCAGCCCGGAGACTTCCTCAAAGGCTTCAAGGCGGTAGGGCGGGGCCTCCGGGAGGGGCGGGGCCTCCGGGAGGGGCGGGGCCACCTGGAGAGAAGAGTACCGGGCTGGCCTTTCCCCTGGGGTGGTCTGGGCGGCGGGGTGAAGAGCCTGGTTCCGGCGGGCCGGCCTGGAGGCTCCCGCGGTGACCGGTGTTGGTTGCTCTGCCCTGGGTCAGTTCGGCTCCTTGTTCAAGCCTTACATCCGGTACTGCATGGAGGAGGAGGGCTGCATGGAGTACATGCGCGGCCTGCTGCGTGACAACGACCTGTTCCGCGCCTACCTCACGGTGAGGGCGGCTGGGGGGGAGGGGGGAAGGGGAGGGAGGTGCAGGGCTGCTGCAGGTGGGCGCCACGGAGGGGGCGTGGCCTGGGTGAAGCAGGGGGCGTGTTCACTGGGGGCGTGGGCGTGGACAATGCTCACCAGTGGGTGGGCGTGCCCTTTGGGATGATGAGCTGCAGTGATTGGGCGTGGTCTGACCGGAGCCCCGCCTCCCCGTACAGTGGGCGGAGAAGCACCAGCAGTGCCAGAGGCTGAAGCTGAGCGACATGCTGGCCAAACCTCACCAGCGGCTCACCAAATACCCGCTGCTGCTCAAGTCAGTGCTGAGGAAGACGGACGAGCCGCGTGCGAAGGAGGCCGTCCTCACCATGGTAACTCGAGCCGTGCGCAGAGGCCCCTCCACGGCCTTCTGCCCCTCCTGGACCCTGGGCCTAAGCCCCGTGTCCGCTGTCCCCAGATCAGCTCGGTGGAGCGCTTCATCCACCACGTGAACACCTGCATGCGGCAGCGGCAGGAGCGGCAGCGGCTGGCGGCCGTCCTGAGTCGGATCGACGCCTATGAGGTGGTGGAGGGGACCAACGATGAGGTGGACAAGGTAGGCTCGTGTCTAGGGGAGGGCCTTCAGCCCAGCTCGGCTGGACCATGCTGACAGGCGTGATGCTGGGGCCTCTCAGCTGAAGTGGAGAGGGCTCTGACACCCCCACACACACACCCCTACCCCCAGCTCTTGAGAGAATTTCTGCACCTGGACCTGACAGTGCCCATCCCTGGCGCCTCCCCGGAGGAGACACGGCAGCTGCTGCTGGAGGGGAGCCTTCGGATGAAGGAGGGGAAGGACAGCAAGGTGACTGGGGCCCCTGCCCCGTTGATGCTTGCCCTGTACTATCTGTCCTGGCACCTCCCGGCTGGGCTGCAGCTTGTGGTTCCTGCCTGGGTAGTCAGGGAAGTAGTAACCAGAGAGCTTGCCTGCAGTGCACAAAGGCAGCAACAGGTGACAGTGGCAGAGAGGGGCACATTCTGTGCTGGTCAAGAGCTTCCCAGAGCTTCCTGTGGAAAGTGTTAGAATGATCCCAGGACCCCAGCCCTCACCCCTATGGCCTCCCCTGTTCCCCCACCCCAGATGGATGTGTACTGCTTCCTCTTCACCGATTTGCTCTTGGTGACGAAGGCTGTGAAGAAGGCAGAGAGGACCAAGGTCATCAGGCCACCACTGTTGGTGGACAAGATCGTGTGCCGGGAGCTTCGGGACCCCGGTGAGGACCCCTGGCAGCCTTGGCAGGGACGGTGATGGGCAGGGGCTTTGGTCTTGGCTTAGACTAAGACGGGTCTTCCATGACCAGGCTCCTTCCTCCTCATCTACCTGAACGAGTTCCACAGTGCTGTGGGGGCCTACACATTCCAGGCCAGTGGCCAGGCCTTGTGCCGTGGCTGGGTGGAGGCCATTTACAATGCCCAGGTGAGAGCAGCGTGACCCGGGGATGGACAGGGCAGACTTGAGGGCTGTTGGGTACAGGCCATTCTTTCTCTGTGCCCACCTACCCCACCCACAGAACCAGCTGCAGCAGCTGCGAGCACAGGAGCACCCTGGTGGCCAGCAGCACTTACAGAACCTGGAAGAAGAGGAGGATGAGCAGGAAGAGGATGACGAGGAGGATGAAGAAGGCGAGGAAAGTGGAGCGTCGGTGGCCAGCTCCCCCACCATCTTGCGCAAGAGCAGCAACAGCCTCAACTCCCAGCAGTGGTATGTTTGCTCAAGAGCAGCTGGCAGGTTCCAGGAGGGCCAGGTCTCCTGTTCCAAAGCCATGGGCACTAGACCGGGCCCCGCCACATCCCCTTCCTCTGTCTGTAAGATCTCATGTCACAAACTGGTGGGAGTGTTAGGTTAAGCTCAGCCTTTCACTGAAGCCCAAAGTCCAGGCAGGGAGGACAGCTTCTGCCTTGGAGTGTCCAGCCCTAGAACCCTGTAGTTTTAGGAATCTTTTTTTTTTTTTTTTGGTCCGGTTGTGGGGCCTGAACTCTGGGCCTGGGCGCTGTCCCTCAGCTCTTCAGCTCAAGGCTAGCGCTCTACCACTTGAGCCACAGCGCCACTTCCGG